ACACTACGAATCGTCAAGTCACTTTCTGCAAAAGACGCAATGGTTTGCTCAAGAAAGCTTATGAACTCTCTGTCTTGTGTGATGCTGAGGTTGCTCTTGTCATCTTCTCCACTCGTGGTCGTCTCTACGAATACGCCAATAACAGGTACTAGATCTTGATTTTCTTGAATTTTTTTAAAGAATAAAGTTTCAAATTTTTTGGTGGGTTTTTCAATCTTTATGATTTATGTATGTGTGTACCAAAATTAGGGTTTTGATTAACTTGGAGCCCTACTTTTGTTTTTGGGAAAGTTCTGATTATCACCTCTCTCTTTGTGAAAAGCTGTCTCTGATAATTAATTACCATCTACCATAACTTGTTTCAGTCACTTTTTTTTGTTTGTTTTGCAAATCCTTAAAAAGAGCATCTATGTGTATCTATGTATGTCAGTGTCTATATACAAGACAGTTCGATCAAATCTTGATGACCCATCAAGTTTGTTTCTGCAGATTGATCATTAGGTTTCCATGAGAGAGATTAAAAAAAGTAGGGTTCTTGAATTGTATTTTTATATGGCTAGCTAGCTACTATATAGCTAAGTAGATTCCTTAAAAATTGATTCACTAGGGGATAGACTAGTGAGTGAATGTTTTGTCTTCTCTAATCTTTCGGTGATTTGGTTTTGTTAAATCAATATTTTTTTTTTTGGGGACAAATTAAGCTTGTTGTTGAGTCACTAAATCACAAATCAATCAGTATAAATACATATCAAGAAAACAGAAATTTTTGACTTTTGGTTATTATTTTTCCCACTCCAAGTTTGGGACTTGTCATTTCCATTTCTTTATAAGTTTCCAGCTATTAACAGCTCATGTTCATTTCAATATTTTGATTTTTTTTGTTTGTTTTGTGATATGATAATTAATGTTTTAGTACTATTATACAGTTTTTTTGTTAATTAATTTGTAGTTGCAACATGTGAATTTCACAACGAGTAACGCTTTTTTTTTTCTTTTCCATAACGACTATACTCTTTAATACTTGTGTATATATGTGACATGACTTGAAAGTATTTGTAATTAAATACTCAACTAATTTGATTAACAAAAGAGGAATGCATTAGGTATGTAGAAAAATGTAATTTCTAGGTTTCTATTTTGAAATGTGTAGAAAAATGTAATTTCTAGGTTTCTATTTTGAAAGAGGAATGCATTAGGTATGTAGAAAAATGTAATTTCTAGGTTTCTATTTTGAAATGTGTAGCTAATATTTATACTCACTTCTTTTTCAAACATCACTCATGCTTAAATGCGTTTTGACATTTCTCAACTACAACTTTTTATCATACCACATAATGTGAATTAAATGAATATGAAAAACCTAATATATGTATAGATATATGGCTTTACTTCTTCAGTTTTACTTAGGATTTATGGATTTTATGTTTTGGTACAAAAATTCTCTCAATTTGTATTCATATACACATTAGTTCAGATCCAAAATGTGTGCTTCTTTTTATAATAGCTAAAAAGCATGAATTTTGTAGGGGATACTCTTTTTTAGCCTATTAGTGTTTTTAAACCCCGATTAGTCAGTACTAGTAGCCTAAAACATCGGTACAAAATTCATTTCTATAAACTTATATACTCCATTTCCCATTTCTTCCCTTGCAGAGGCTAATAAAAATAAATAAATCAAATTTCAGATAGCACTACTTTTAGTACCAAATGACTAATACCTAACGTGGTTAATGAACCCGGTCTCAATATATCAACCGATCCATAAATGCAAACTTTGGTCAAATCAATAACCAAATAGATTAATCATATGTAGAGCAATTTTTTTATTTCCCCTCTCCAAATGACAACTTCTTTTGTCCAATCACATGGTACGTAATAGAATGGTCTCCATTCACTATCTTTTGTCGTTGAATGTAAGGTTTTGGCCGGACAAAACCCTTCTGTTTCACAACCTTAATATATGGAGAAATTTTTTAAAAATGCCACTTTTCAAGTGTTACTTTACAAAAATGTCACACTTTTGAAATCTTTACAAAAATGCTACTTTTTTAAAATTATTTTTCTTTATATTATTTATGTTTGGATTAATTATGTTCTATTAGGGTTTAGTTTTGAGTGTTTAGGGGGTTTTAGGTGTCAAACATTTTTTAGGG